CTCCTGCATTTTGCCTGGCTGGGAAGGCAAACATAGATGCATCATACTCTACTGTTCAGTTCTCATTTGGTAGCATAGAGCTGCAGCGACTGCAAACACTGCAAGGAAAGGCTTAAGTTCAATCAATAACGTTGTCTTAGGACTGGATCTTGCCACCCTTATTCATGTGCCTGTAACATCAGTGCCATTTCTGTCAGTAGCAGGGCTGAAGGAGCAAGGTCTTACCAACATACAGGTGGTAGAATCTGGTCCTTGGAATTTAAGGGGCCAGTGATTTCAACAGTTGTAAATCAGCATAGCTTAATGGAAATAGATATAGTTGCATCTGTGGGAATGAATTTGTTTTTGCTTAGGTTTTGCAAACTCCTTTTTGCATTTAAACCCCTACATATCGATTATGAAGTTCCCATTCATCTCCATCTAATATAAGAGGTCCAAAAGTCTCCCTGCAAAAACATCATGTTTCCCAGGACGTCACTTATTCCCAAGACAGTTTCTCTTAGCTGATTTCTTTTTTCTTATAAAAGGATGTTGCTGCCCGTGGGTTGGACCTGCCTCAAGTCACCTGGATTGTTCAGGTAGGTTTCTGGGGGTTTTGTGTGTGTAAAATATTTGCAGTTGTATTCAGATGGGGGAGCCTCCTAGTGATATTCTGTTCTTTCAGGCCCAGATCCTGCAATATGAGTACATGTGAGGAAGGGTCCATTGCAGAGTCCCAATGACTCCTCAGCAGAGAAATAGTCTCCACTAGCAGATCCTGTGTTTCCTTTATGCCAAAGGATTCTCAAATACCCTTTGTCTTTTTATCCGGAGCAGGTTCAGGGGTTAATCTTACGTTGTAGAAGCTCCATGAGTTTTTCATTCTGTTTTCTTTTTTCCTAATCCAGCCTTTTTAGCAGATAAATAATATTCCATGAATAGAAAAGAATTAGAGCCTGATCCTGCCAGGTTCTGGCCACTTTTAATGTAATGCTGCGCTCCCCATTGCAGGCATGGCTGAGGACCCAATTCCTTGAGGAGTTTGAGTACATGCCTTACTATAAGCCCCTGTGTAGCTCCAGAGGCTTCATCTTGAAAACCTAGCCACATTGCTAATTTAAGCCCTTGTATACTCTCCTAGAGCAGCAAGCACACAGCACCTTTCAGGATTAGGCAGTTCTTAGGGTTTCCTCTGAAGATCTGATACTGTGCCATTGGTGTCCACATGAATTTTGTCTGTGTTTTCAATGGAAGTAGAATCAAGCCTTAATGAAATGTCAGGCTTTAATTTCAGGTGCCAGGGGAGAGGATGTGTGTGAAACTTCAGCTCTCCTTTAATTTAAAAAAAAAAAAAAAAAAGTTAAGTTTACAAGTTGGCTTTGCAAAATACAGGGAATGATGTTGAACCGAAAGTTTTCACACATTAAGTGACCGTTGGGTAAGCAGAATGGGCTGCTCAACCTTGACAAAGCAGCCTTTTAATTTCTAGCACATCCCTTTAGGGAACAAGTAGGATTATAATTTTGGCTAAAAAATAATCAATTTTTTTCAGAAATTAGCTGCTCGGACTGGAGTGAGGGAGCAGAGTCTTTCGTTCCTGGGCCCAGTTACACTTGCCATACTCAACACGGTGCAAATTATCTGAGGCCCTGGGAGACTGCTGCTTGTCCAGAAGGTGAAAGCTCAGCTGTCCTGAGAACTGTGTCCAAGAGCACTGACCTGCAGGGAGCAATTAGATTGCTCACAGCATCTTACTCACACCTCTAGCCAGTAGAAAATTTGCCAGAGGGCACAGGTATAAACACTAGAGTGGGCTTTGGTTGTTGGGGTTTTTTTTCCCAGTTAAACTGCTGAGGGCTTATTTCTAAGTAGCATGTGTGTGTGTGTGTGTGCACACGCGTTCGCTTTTCCAGGAGGAGAAAAAAAATCATGTCCCACTTTATAGGATCCTGCAAGCTCTGCTGAGCAGCTTGAATTCCCACTGAAGTCAATGAGAGGCATTGGCGCGTTAGCAGTGGCTTAATCAAAATTCTGAGAGAGCCTGATAGGTACAAATGGCAAGACAGTGGGTCCGGAGACATCACCTGCTCCTTTCACTGCACGCCGCGTGCGGGGCTTACACCTGCGTATTGCCCCTGGTTCTTTTCTGCCGGGTAACCATCAGCGATTTGCTTTAATCAACCCAGTGGTTTAGCCCGACTGTAAATTTGAACCGTTCCCCTTTCCTCCCCGATGCACAGCAGGCAGCTTGTCGCGCTGTGTGGGCATTTCTGCTTAAAAAAAAAAAAAAGAGGCAAACAGGTTCCTGACGAGCCTGTGTAGAAATAAAATGTAAAAAAGCGAAGAGAGACACCGAGTTGGGGAAACTGTCCTATTATCTGAAACTTGGCCAATGTGTCACATTCACATGTCAAAACCCTGCGATGGCTGATGGGGCTGAGTGATGGTTCCAGAGATGAGTCCGATGGGCTCTTTATAAACAGCCCCTCTCTAAGGTAGGCAAGAGACCCAGTTTTTATTTAGCTCCCTTTTTAGGCAAACGGACACAAAGCGGCATGTTTGTAATCAGCTCCGCTGCGTTTTGTTTAATTCTTCCTTTCTCCTTGTGTTCCCCTTTTGAAGTACAACGCTCCGGTTTCACCTGCGGAATACGTCCACCGGATCGGAAGGACGGCTCGGATTGGCTGTCACGGGAACAGCCTGCTCATCCTGATTCCTTCGGAGGCAGAATATGTCAACTCGCTGGCTTCTCACAAGATTAAGTGAGTCAGAGACCCGAACAAAAGTTCCAGCTCCTCCTAGCTAATTAACCTTCCATGGCACTTTCAGAGGGACCGTGTCTTGTACATGTTTTAATAAGAGTTATTAATTCTTGTGATCCCGGACTAGCCCCAGCATAGCAGAAGGAGGGAACTGAAACCTGTAATGTAATCAAGCATGACAAATTTATTGCACGAGTGAATGCGTGTGTGGTGTTAGGAAGGAGGTGAGACGCTCAATGATTCATTGCACCCCACTGTTACCTTGAGGGCTCTGGGTTTCAGTCTTGCCTACACGGAGTTCACATTCAAGGGAGCCCAGCCTATTGGACACTTGTCCACATCATGTTGTCAGAGTTGGTACTTTCTCTCCAGGAGAGAGCCAGGAGGGGAACTGCTACAGAGTTATGGGTCACAACTGACAGGTAGTTGGCCAAACCATGCTGTATAAATGGAATGGAGAAAGCTATTACAAGGTATATTTCGAATGCATTGGTAGAACTTGATATGGCCTCTGGGTTAGGAAGACATGAGCAGTGCAGGCTGGCTAAGACCAAGAGGTGTTGGCCAAGACAAGTCAGGAGGCTCCTGGTATTTGCCAGCTTTGGCTCACCTGGGAACGAGGAAGTAGGGGTGAAGAAGGCAAGACCAGCTAAATAAGGAAACGGAGAGCTGATATATGGGTACAGTGACGGCCTCCATGAAGTGAGGTCTTGAGCATCAGTCTGTAGCTAACAAGTGCCCCTCTCATAAAAACCACCTCTGGGGCACTACCTTTCTTAGCTGCCTCCCGAGTAAAACCAAAACCGAATGAGCCTTAAGGAGTGCCCTCCAGGGTGGGTCTGGCTGCCTTTAGGTTCAGTGCAGGGAAGCTTGCACTGTTCCCAGCTGCCTTGGGGAGAGAGAGTTGTGCCTCCAGGTCAGCTGTAATTCCTGTAATTCTCGGGTGAAAAAGTCAATCTTTACACAGCACCGTCCATCCTGGAGGAGGAACCTCCCTACACTACCCCTTTCCTAATTACTGCCGCCAGATCCCAGAGCTGTGCACCAGTCTGCTGGACTTGCCTGCCTTCCTCGGCTCCCCGAATCCCCGTCTCTTGGCATTTCAGAACAACAGCCAAGTGAAATCACTTCGGTGCAGCACCAGTTTTGATGGAGCCCTGTAAACGCCGACGCGCAAATTATCTGGCTTCTATTTTACGCGTTTATGCGGGGTGGGGCAGCTCAACATCAAATTTGGTTTTGCATTTTTGAAATAAACAAACGCTGGCAGTAAATACGGGCTTATTCTCGGCTGTGAGCCACTTAGTGGTCTAACAAAGAGCCATCCATCATCCCAGGTAACTATCTATTAAGCAGACACCAGCAAGACAAGGAGGGCTAAGCTGACAGGGGTTTTTTTCATGTAACAAACAGCACTGACATTTAAAGGTGAAATCCCACATAATTGTGAATTTTTAACTCCAACTGGAAAGTTGTATTTTATTTTATTTTTTTTTTAATGATGATTTTTTGGGTGGGGGAGGGCAAAATGGTTTGCGTTTGCCCATATTTTGCTCTGAATTTTTAATTCGAAAAGTTTCTTTTGTTTTTGTTTTTCTAGCAAGTTTAAGGGAGTAGTGTCTCCTGCTCAACCTGGCAATTATAGCACTTACGGAGACCTGTTGTTGAGAGAGGCATCTGTTTGGGCATCCTTAGACTGATGCTTTCCATTGCTCAACTGGAAGGGATGGATGTGAATCTATTCCTGCCTTCTGAATTCAGTGCAGCTGAAGTCCACAGAAGACTGCCTGCCTAGGGCTTATTTTGTTTGCTTGTTTGGGAGTTTGTTTTTTGCTTTAATTTCCTTAATAAAGTGTACCGTCTGTGGGATCAAGGACTTCTGGATAATGGAGTGCAGTTCACCTACAGTTTTCAGATCAGAAGAAATGCTTGTCTAATTAGCACAGGAGGGTGGTTTGGCCTGTGTGTAGTATATCCCGTGCTCTTCCAAAGCAAGTAGTTCAAGTGTGCACGTGCGCACACGTTTAAAGGGGCAATAGGATACTGAACCGTGCTGATGAATTACAGAGATGATTCATGAAGGCAGCTTGAAGCTCAGGGCAGCAAGTGCCATCAGCACAAGTTGCCCCCACCTTTCACAAACAGAGCATGATGGGGAGAATGCTGACAATTCAATTTAGCATCGAGGGCAAAGCCTGTGCCAGCCTGCCGCCAGCTCCGCTCGGGCACTGATCGCTCATGTTTATCTGGGCTCAATCTTCTTTTCATCTTTCCATTCAGGCTGTGTAAATGGTTTGGCTTTGTATTATTTTTTTTTTCCCCTTGCTTCATTTAAAATCGGTGTTCATAATGAGCTCCTGACGGGGTTGTTGAAATGTAAATCCTTTGTAAAAAGTTGGGGGTTTTTTTTCTAAGCAGCTAATTCTCCCGACAGACGCCTGTCATCCTCCACTGGTGTAGATTAGCAGTGTTGGGCTGACTTCTATCAGAATAGGATCTGGCCCAGAATTTTATCCGTACCGGAGGATATAAAGGGGTAGGTCAAGAACTGTTGATACCCAAGCAATGGGACCAGGCATGGGCTTCTTCCAGGATGGACATCTACTTCAGGATTAGGGGTAACTGCCTTGGAAATTGGAAATCACTCGCAATTAATTTCCACGCATATCTGAAGCCTGTACTTGGCTTCTGTAGGATTTACTTTGGCCAAAACCCTCTCGCTGTGGCTCTGGTGAGAAAAGCAATGCCCACTGGAGCTTAAGAAAGTTGCACGACTGCCTCAACAACTCTTATTTTGTAGCATTGCATAATTCGATGTTGCTTTTCCCTTCCCTTGTCACGAGCGCACATGCACTGACTTAGATGAATTTTCCTTCTTTTTTTTTTAAGGTTACCCTCCAAAATGTTGCGCCTCAGCACTGTGTCTAACTAACACATTTTCCTTCAAAGGAAGGCAACAAGAAGCAGGCAAAACGCTGCCGAGAGTTGGGTATTTCCTCCTTGTGCTTACGTCTCTTTTAGTTCCTTCATGTGCAATCTAGCAGCGCCTGCCTCGACAGCCATCAGATAATTTCTTTATCTCCTAACGGCGGCCTAACTAATTTATACAGGAAAGCGCATCACCGTGAAGGCACGAGTCGTTCCCCCACCCCCGCGCACGCTGCTCCCTGCTGTGAACGGAGCTCACATATCTGTAAGGCAGCGAGCTGGCAGCATGCCAGGAGAGAGGAGAAAGGGAGAAGGGGATGACACGTCTCAGACACATCAATGTCAAAGGCTTGACATTTTCATTCATAGCTGTGTCAAAACAACCTTTGGGGGTATGGGGAGAAATGCCTTTCTCTTGCTTAAGTGGTTGCCATTTATGTTTTAATTTACTGTTATACTTTTCAAAAACAAACAGAAGAACCCTCAGTTGTCTTTTTATGCTCCATTTCCCTTCCTCCTGTGTCTCTCCCCCCTCCTTTCTCCACCTCTGTGCTCTCCACGAAGGAATCCTTTCTCTCTGAGATTCCCCAGCTACATCAAGACAGCCTCCCGCATGGGCTGGGACGCGACCGTGCACAATCACGGCCTGCAACCCTTTGGGCTAAACTGTTGCTTCTCTGGACTAGCTCTTTACCTTTCTCTCGCGCATGATTGCGATGTTTCTGTCGCGGAGGCTTGGAGGCCAGTTACTGAAGAAATTGCGTTTGCCCCATTTCGTTGAACTGGGTAGGACTGGTCAAGGTTTGTTAGAACGGTAGGGGGAAGCTTTCCCGCGTGCCACGCTCGTCTCCAGCTCTGTGATTTAGAGACGCGACCGTGGCGTTGAGAGCGTTTAGCCCTCACTTCTTTCCCAGCTTCTGCCACTGATCCCCCGTGTGTCCTTAAAAAAGTTGCTTTACTCTCTCTGCTCGTCCCTTCATGTCTCGTACGGTATTGCGAAGGTTGATCAATTCCTGTTAGTTGAGGCAACGAAGTGCAAAGTGTTAACGCTCCTTCTTTTCTATCCCACTCGTTTCTATTCACTTAGTAGGATTCTAAACCAAGTTGATCCAAACTCGGTTCCCTTTCAAACAGATGTAAGTATAAAAGACCAGCGCTGACTTTGGTACACCTCATTTGGGTTTACGCCAGTACAGCAAGGAGAATAGTTTAGTTTCTTCTATAGAGAGATAAACTCGCCCATTTGTGAAACGTAGCCACGTGGAAACCCGGGCCCAAACCTTCAAATAGTTAGGTGTGAGTTTAGCTTCTCACGAGAGTAGGCCCACTGAAATCAGTGGAACTATTCACATGCTTAATTTTTTAAGGATGTGCTGAATTTGCAGAATCAGGGCCATAGACAAGTGTCTTACAGCTGGGAGTGGAAAATTGATCACCTGATTGAACGTGCAGGAAAAAACTGTAGGTAGACACATGGAGACTAAGTGCCAAGTATGGCATTTGGCTGCCACACCTGATTGATTCCTGTGGTTTAAAAAACTGCCAGAGGGCCCTGGATGATCACAGGTGGCTTTACACTTCTTGGAGCAGAGATGTTGGATTCTCTCTTCTCGAGTTGTGATCCTGGGAAGGAAAGTATAAAAGAAAGGAATGCAAGGCAATTTAAAGGCTGGCAGAAAAATGTCCGTCGTAGACATGAGCGAGCTGGAGAACAAGCTAACTCAATAAGCCAAGCCCTGACCCAGGCAACGTTGTGCTCGGTCGGGATGACCGCAGGATGCGGTGGACAAGGGGGAGGTGTACTTGTCTGCCGTGAAGTGCTCTGCAGGGTTTGCTTTCAGGGGTGTTGGGGTGGGGAGTGGTCCAGGAGACTCCATCATTTCCGCCCTAGGTCCTAGGTTTTTAACCACTGTATTTCTGAATGAGAGGAGCCTCACCTTAGTAGATTTTTGATTATCAGAAGAGAGCCACCACCGAGTGACACAGAGACTGCTCGCTCCCTACCCAAGAGCTGTTCGAGCAGCCTCAGCAGTGCTTCCATGCCCTGCTGATCTGGGAATCGCCTGATGGGTCTGGAAGGAGGAGTTTCACGCGTGGCATTTGAAGCCCCTGAGCATTTGGCCAAAAAATTCTCTTGTTCTTGTATTTCTAATGTTGCTTTTTAAAATGAGGGCTCAGAGACTGGTGGCAGAGAGGAGGGTTAAAGGAAGCACATACCATACCAGAGAAAAGTGTATTTTCTCTCTCTGATTTACTCCAAATTTGGGTTGGACTCTCATAATGTAGGACTGCCCACATGACCCAACGCTGGTTCTGTTGAAGTCAATGGCAGAACTTCCATTAGCTTCAACAAGACTAAGGTCTGACCTGTAGTGAATGATAGCTGAACTGCCAAATGGGTTTGGCTTTTTTTTTTTATTTAGAGGCTAACTGGACAAATGAAATATGAAAATCCCAGCTTTCTAGACTTTTTATGCCACCCTTGTTCCAAAATCCTGTCCCTAACTTCCAGCCTCGTCAGCCCCATGTTTCTAGCCAAAAAAAAGATGGTTTTGTGGTTCAAGCACAGCTGTAGAGGTTAAGAGTCTTGACTGCAGGTTTTGGCTCTGAATAAATCATTTAAACTCTCTGTACTCTGCAGCACAGTGATGACAACACTTTTCCGATATACAGGAAAGCTTAAAAAGGTGACCAGCAGTAGAAACGATAAATTGAGTTTCTACCAGTTTGCATTTTGTTTCTCACTGGTTTCTGATGCATAAAGATGGAGCTCGTGGTTAAAGAGGTTTCTTCCTTGCTTGTTTGTTACATTAGTAATATCAGGTGCTGGTTTCTTTTTGAGGACCGGAGAATTAGATCTATCTTGATATCACGACTGAGTGAACCGGATCCCACTGAGACAAGAAGAAGTTATCGAAATAAAAATCTTTGGTTGATGCGGGTGGGAGATGGTCCTTAACAGGAGAGAAGAGCTTACATGTCTGAGTCCTCAAAGTATAACAATGTACTTGTTCCTTCAAGTAAGGGTTGAATGTTTTGCCCGAGTTCTTGTTTCCTAAGCACTACTCTACTGAAACTAGAGGAAACAAGAAGTACGAGGAAAACTTGAGACACTTTCAAGGCTGTATATGTATGTGCAGCATCTCTAGTGATTGCCAAATTTTCATGGTGACTGAAGCCAAATTCCTGGATAAGATGCTGGATAAATGTATAGGACGTTATGGTCAGGCTGAACTTGTAGGTCTTCATCTCCCTTGCCACTCCACCCCTCTTGGTTATCACTGGTTGGGTCTGACTCCCATGGGATGGAAGAGAAACCATTTCTGTGCAGAAAGGTTGATGTTGCCCTGGAGAAGTGACCATTTTTCTCTTCTTTTGTGCTGTTTCAGGGTCTCAGAAATGAAGATGGAGGACATTTTGGCCAACTTAGTGAAGGACGATCGTTTCAAGGGGCGCCAATGGGGAAACAAAGTGAGTTATTTTGGTGGTTTGGAATTGCTTTGGTTTCATTCAGTAACTATGTTGTCTCGCTCAAAGAAAAAGGTGTATAAAGCCATATTGTAAGGTAATGCAAACCTTCATATTCTTCACTTGCTCCATTTGTGCCCCTTTAAACTTTTGTCCCAAAATGGCAGTCTTGGCTTAGACTCTTAGCTTAGCAAAAGTTTCATACCAGACTGTGTTCTTGCAAAGGCTGCAGTTGGCATGACACACTGTTTGTGGTCCGTTTGCTGTATTGTGAAATATTAGGAGACATAAAAAATGACACAACAGTCATTCAAGCAAATGAACAAAGGATGCTGTGTGCTGTGTTATCCAGGCTTTAATATTATTTTATTTTGTTTTGGAGAAGCCTGATTGAAACCTTGATGGAGCTGATAGGAGACATTTTACTGAGTCTAGCTTTGGGTTTGGGTCAGCATTTTAGTTGCTAATTCATAAAATTCAGGCATTTGCACTGGTTTTTTCTGCCATCGGCACAGATTGCATTCTGTAAGAGCCTCAATCTTAAAGAAAACTTGAGCAAATGTCAAGCATTACCCAGGTTTATTTTTCCACTCGCTTATTATTTTGCCAGTTCGCTTATTCAGTTATTCCACGCAACAGTCTTCAGCTTGTCCACTGTCTTCTAGTTTCCCGGCAGATGGTTCTGTTAGGAGCTGTGGCTTGTTTTCAGTAAAAAGCATGCTCTGGAAGAATATTCATACCTCCAGCATGCCCTGCATTTTTACAGATATTAAGCTTACCTGAGGAAACACTTTTCACACCCAGATTTTCCCAGCCCTTCACAAATCCTTATTATGGCTAAATCCTGGTTTATAAAGTAGTCCAGGAAATATGTAGTTTAATAAGCATGGGGACATGTGTGGAGGTTAGTATAAAATGTTTGGCAGTGTGAGTTTAGAATTGCTGTGTTACTCTAAAAGTCACTTAAAATTGCTTTTCTGTGCACAAACTGTCACTGCCGTGCCCTTGGAAGCAGGCTCTGTGGGTCCCATGCAGAGATTGAGAATCTCCTCATTAAAATGATTATAAAATTCCATTTCTAGCCCTCGAAAGATGTCTTTACTTTAAATTTGACGCTGATACAGGACTGAAGGTAACTCGTGCAAGACCCAAGATGCAGGGAACTTAAGGAGGAGGGGACGGGGAAAGGAAAATATTTCTTTGACAGGTATCAGTTTGGTTTTTAAACAGCAGCTGTTGGAAGGTGTCCAGAAGGTTTTGGGTACTCACCCCTTGTAATGCCCATGGTGCATCTGAATAAGAAATCAGCGGCCTCTTGAAATAACGTGGTTTTAGCCTCTTTGGAGCTCACTGTGCCTATCTGTAGAATAATGCTAATACCAAACCAGCAAGGCTGGTTACACAGATTGATGAATTAATATTTATAAAGGGCTTTCAAAATGTAAAGCATATTATAACTTTTAAGTAGTCGTGTCCTAATTGAAATACAGCCCCTCTGAACGGTAGTTTAATGCTCGATTTCAGCGGAGCTATAAAATGTATTTTTAACCCTGCTGCAGGATTTTATACCAGCAGAAACTGAAGGTTTTGCCTGACGCTGGTCTAAAGGACTAGGACCAAGAAAGGAAATATCTAGTAGTGGGAAAATCCTTTCAAGTGTAATAGGAATGAAATCACCATAGTTCTGTGGATGTTATATGTAGGGTTTCACAGGAATTACTCTTAAACATCTCGAAAAGGTAGTAAAGGCTCCAGTCATTCTATAGATTTTTTTTTTTATGGCAACGTATAGAGATCTATAGCTGGGCCCTAATTCTCTCTCTAACTCTATATGGTGTTTAAAAAAAATCCAGGAAGGTTATTCTCTTTTAAAGTCTATAAGACATTTTTCAAAGATCCGGGAGACCAAGACGTGGATGTACTCGACCGTGCGTGGAGCAGGCCGTGGTCGGAAGTTTTAATTTCCGCTTGTTACAAAAGACCTAAACTAACTCAACTATGGCTTTGCCGCCCGCGAATTACAGTTATCTTTACCTTATCAGGTCTCCGTGCGTGGTGTCATGTATATATTATACTCGAGCACACAGCCACCTCATTATAATGCTCTTTGTTTCTCACTGCCTTGACTGAAGTCCATTATAAGTACCGCCTTGGAACACACTTTTTTGGGCTTCTGTGCGCAGCCAGGGAGCAAGCTGAAGCGCCTGTAAAATGTATATTTTATATTTAGACGTATAAAATATATATGTGGCTCTGTCTGGGTGTGTGAGTGTTCACCTGCCTACAAAGAGAATAAATTTGATCTTTCAACTTTTACTGAGGGGGGAAAAAAACTTGTTGGGTTCTAGGGACTGTGTGTGGGGGTTGGAAAAAAAAGTTATTAAAACAAAATCCTTCATTTTGTTTTAAAGTACCATGGTAGCAGTAGACATTATGGCCTTTTTCTTTTCTTCTTTTTTTTTTCGTCTTTCCTTAACCCTAAGAACATTCCCACCTGCTCTGATCTTATTGTATTTCTATATTCCTTCTCCCATTAATCCTCTTGAAGGCATGGCGCATTACAGGAGATAAGTTAGCTTGTAAACTTGCTCAGCTACTCTGCTATACGTTCATTGAAGAGCAAGTTCTCTAAAGCAGCCGCTCATCCTGAATTTTGGGGTTGGGTCCCAGGGCAAGAGGACTTCTGTCTGGAATTGGGAAAATCGGCCCATAGTTGGCTGGCTGCCTCTGGCTTCATGCAGTGTCTGCAGAGAGGACGTGCTTATTGCCCCCCAGCCGCAGCACCATCCGTAAAACGACTATACTGCTTCTGGTTCGGGAAGTAGCCTCTCAGCACCGCCGATTAGCTGGCCTGCAGCACAAAACGAAGGCAGTTACACGAACCTGAACCAGAAGTGCTCAGTTGAGGATCTAGGCTTGTGTCCTGGATTTTGCTATATAAAAGCGGTCACTTTTTAAAGCCACCTGGCACACACCATAGGGTTGAAACCCTCGCACAAGTTTGCATGCTAGCTTACCACGCAATAACTGGCTCATTTAACCGTGCTCATAATGAAACTGGAGAGTTAGCCTCCCTGATGCCAAGATGCCCCAGTTTTAACGGCCATAATTTTCTGTCTTAAGAAACACATTGTCGAGTCTTTCTTTTCCTGGCATGTTTTTTTTTTCTCATAATGGCACGAAATGGTTTTAAAAACCTTGCAACACTGTACATGTCTCTTTTGGCTTGCAGTAATATCCATTGGGTTAGTTATGCCCGTGTGTGGAGACCAGCCAAAAATGGGACCTCATTCTGCGAGGCACTGCTTAAAAATAGGGTATTGGAAACTCTCATTAGTTAGTTGTATTAACTGAGAGCATAAATGCATCGAGAAAGGGAAGGAATCTAGCAAAGCATGAGCACAATCCTTTATCTTTTAGGCCTTAGCGTCTGGTGTAAGGGCATCCAAGTGAGTCTTCCCATTGACTACTTGCAGGGATAGGGCTTACTCATGTGAGTAAAAATATGCAGGACCGCTTGCAGTCGACATCCAGTAAAATCGCTTTTATTATCCGTCCAGAGATTGAGGCAGTGCAGCGTGTGGCGCGCGGCGGTTTTTCTTTGCACAGCTTGGCTCCAAGTCTGAGTCAGTTTTTAAATTTAGAATTTATTTATTTTAGACCAACCTCCCTGGAAGGCAGGAATCAAAACCCGGCTTTTTTTTTTCCCCTGCCCATTAGGGGGCAATTTTAAAATGAAATCTTTCTCAAGGGGATGAAGGGGATAAGAGACCGGGTGGGGGCGGGAGAAGGGGAAACACTGTTTTCTAAGCACATTATGTTTTCTGCCGTTCGCTTTATTTATTTTTTCCGCATTTTATTTTTCTCGAACTGACCTTGCACTTTGGAAATTATGCACCTATTTTTTTAATTTTTTTTTTTATCCCTTATTTTAGTCTTATTTTCTTTCTCTCCCCCCCCCCCCCCCCCCCCCCTGGAGAAGAAACTCCCCCCCCCCCCCCCCCCGCACTAGGAAGAAGAGATACCTCATTTTGAAACCTAAAGGGGGGAATAAGAAAAGTCCTTTGTAATATATTGCCATATTATCACTAAATCCCCTGACAGTTGTGACACAGAAGCAAGTCACCTGTCACTTAAGCTTGAGGTCTCTTTAATTTTCTCCAGGAATTCGCACCAGGCTGTCTTTAATTTGAGGCCTTTATTGGAATTCTGAAACCTTTCTGCCTCCCCAGCGCTCAGATCTATTCTGAGTGCTGTTACAGAATGTATACAATAACCAACAGAGGGATTCGGAGAGGGCTGAAGCACTGTTTATTTAACACTCTGGAGGGATTTTCGTGCTTATTCGGTCCTGGCTACCCGGCTTTCAATATCGCTTTGACAACCGTTATGCCCTTCTCATTAATTTTAAACAGTTAAAACACAGGAAAAAGAGAAAAAGTTTTCATTATTAAAGTGCTTTACTTTTTAATAACAGAGGATTCTGTCCGCCAGGGGAAAGGGCAATCTCGCTAATTTTACATTCATATTAAAAAACCCTGGGAAGGTGACACTCGGTGCTGTCGGGGAGGCTTAACAAAAGGGAAGCGGGGGTTGAAGGGGGGGGGAAGGAAGTTTTATGTTTCACGGCAGCAGAAACTTGTTAACGCCGGCGACAAATGTCCGGTTTGGGGAGGCGACTCCGCTTGTAGCGTGCAAAGCCCTTGGGTGGACCCTCCGCTCATCCGATTGACTGGCCGAGCAGGTGAGAAGGGCGCCCGACTAAGGCAGAGCACATAAATAAAGTGTGCCCCGTTTTGTGCCGGTGCATCCCAGAGAGAGCAGGCAGTAGAGATGGGGACTTTGTGCATCTTGAAAGGGAGAGAAGGTTAGTTCTCATCCAAGCTGGATAGTGAGTGAATATGAATTTTAGTACCTGTTCACATGCACTTCACAAAGCTGCTGTAACAGGAAGCGGGGACTTGAATAGCAACGATAATCTGACCAGGTTCAAGGTGCAGCGCCAAAGCCGCAGATAGAAAAATTGTGCAGGGCTTCAGCTGGTCCAGATGTGGTGTTTTGTTATGCCGGTGTAAATCAGGAGCAGCACCAGACAGCCCCAAGGACTTGTCTTCGGTGAAATGTTCTACCAACATGCAAACCAGTGAAGCTGATGGAGTTAGGCCAGCAAAGGCTTTGGGCCCTTTGTGCGTGGATCAGGCCAGCCCTTCTTAATCCCTGACTTTGCCTAGTATGAGGATTCAGTTTAAACATGAAATGGTGCTCAGCACAGTGTGGAGCACGGTGCTGCTTGCATTTCTGGCAGGAATAGCGGTTTGGATA